AAGTGGTCACAGCACCAAGGCTGAGAGAGTTCAAGAAGTGTTTGGATGATACTCTCGGTCACATGGTGTGACTCTTGAGGATGGTCCTGTGCAGGGCTAAGAGTTTGTAGTTAACATAGGGCTAGGTGAATTTAGATGGCTCACTGTTGCTCCGGCTAAGCTTTCTATTCTGTCCTTTTCCATTTTCAGGAGGTAGTGGACTGGTTCAATGCCATTCGCTCTGTGCAGTTCCATTATCTGAAGGTAGCATTTCCCATTGCCAGTGATAATGAGGTAAGACAGCACTAGAACGCAGTGCTAAGTCTCCCATTGCTTATGTGATAAAGGAGTTCATTAGTTACTATTATAACCCCAGGTACAGAAGTGGAAATTGCAGTGTCTAGATAGAGGGATGAGAATGTATGTTTAAAAGGGCCTGTGGCGGTCAGAAAACAGCTGCTTTCTGCTGTTTCTGGGCATTTTGGAAGCAGAAGTGACTCCTGGCTATGCAGTTCAGGAAATATGAATTTAGAAGATGGCTGAATTTGAGGGAAGGTGACTGAATTGGAAGGGCAGAGGGGAAACGAATAGCAAAGAAGCACAGCTAGGTGAATGTTACTCTTGCCTTTTTGTCAGATTAAAAATCGTCTGACGAGAAATTTCTTGAAGGAGGGATACATGGAGAAGACTGGTCCCAAGGTGAGCTGCTATGTTAGAAAAAATCTTAACAGGGACCTGCCAGAGAGCCACTGGCTTTCCCAACCTCAGTGTTTTTCTCCTGCTGTTTCCCCATTCCCCCCTGACTCTTTAGACACCCGTGGGAACAGTGTGTGTGCACCAAGGGAGGGGAGAATTAAAGGAAGGGGAAGGACACATGTGAAAGTAGATGAAGCCAGAGTCCCTGCTTTCTCCCAGAGCGACAGATCTCTCTGCATGTGTCTGTGTGTGCCTGACCTTACAGGTATTTAGCGTCTAGATTTCTCCTGTCTCAACTTTGGAGCCCTTCACCACAGTCCAAGAGTTGGGGACAGCAGCTGGGACTGAAAAACCCGATACTGACCCCCACTCTCAGCTGAGAAAGGGCGAGGAGGAGGTTGCATTTAAGGCAGGGGCTTGCTTTAAGTGGTTGGGATGAATTTTGGGTATCCATTCGTACTGCTCACAGCAGAGGGCACTGTCCCCTTACATATGTCCCCTCTTCCCTTCACAGCAGAGAGAGGCCTTTAAGAAGCGCTGGTTCACACTGGATCACCGCAGACTCATGTACTTCAAGGATCCTTTGGTGAGGGGGAGATCTGACTGCTGGGCAGCTGCAGGCAACCGTGCTGAGGGCAGGGTCAAAGTGCAACCAGAATCTTTGCTCTTCAGTTAGGGTGGCTTGCAGGTTCCCCAGCTGCTCTGGATGGGCTCTAAGTCTTCCCCTTTCCATCCCACTCAGGTCACATGCTTTCTGTGTTTGTTTTGCTGCCTGCAAACAATGGTAACAGGGAGGGCAGCAGTGTAAAGGTGGTGATGGAAGGGTGACATGGAGGGAGAGGAGCACCAGTTTCTCTCTCAGACCTCTCAAGACCTATGCCCTTAGATATTCCTTTTCTCTACAGTCTTTGAGCATAGACTCCCTGCTCTTCTGAATTCCCTGACCACCTCCAAAACTTTTTGTTGCTACATCCCTGGTCCTCACACACTCTCTCCTGTTCTTAGGTGCATTGTAATTATTCCTTGATTCTTCTGGATTTCCATAAATCACTGTCTTTCCCTCCTGATGTGCAGGATGCATTTGCTAAGGGTGAGGTATTTGTGGGCAGCAAAGAGAATGGATATAGTGTCCAGAAGGGATTGCCTTCAGGGACACAGGGCAACTTCTCTTGGCACTATGGCATCACCATTGTCACCCCTGACCGGGAATACCTCTTCACCTGCGAGACAGAGACTGACCAGCTGGAGTGGATCAAAGCCTTCACTAGCGTCATCAACCAGGCCATGACACCACAGGAATATGCAAGTAAGTGCCTGGATGCTGTTTCCTTCCCCTCCTGCCACTCCAGTTCAGAGTATTGCCCTAGTTCACCACCTTTTTTGCTTTACTACAGTTGAAGCCTACTTCAAGTTTAAATCCTAGGAAACCATTCAGGAACTATGACTCCACTCTACCCGGTCCTGTGGCTGTCAGGAGAGGAGAGCAGATTGACATCAGAGAAACACTGTGCTATTGAAGCACCCTTGAAGCACTTTTGCCCCCACAGAATGTCCACTTGTTTTGAGGGCCCAATTAAGCTGCTTCCTTTCAAGTGCAAGACTTTGAGTCTGAATCTTCAGTACAACCTGTCCCTGTTAAATTGCTGTGATCTGACTGGATGCTGGCAGGTCTTGCCTATCAATCAGACCTTGAAAACTTTGGCACTTACTATGTTGGACATGGGACCTATCATCACTCCTGCATGAAACTGCAGACAGCCACCTACCTTACTCAAGAAAACAGCTGCCTGGCTGGAGCCAGGCACCCCAGCAGGTTGCAGGGGCTGCTGGACTAAGAGAACCTGTTCCTTTAAAAGAAATGTAATCTCTGCTGGTGACAGAGATGTGAAACATCTAGATATCCGATCAGTTAGAGCTGTAGTTGAGAAAGGTCACTTAAAAAATGTAACCTACCAGCCAAATGTGAGGCCTGTTTCCTTCTGCTCTGTATGGGCTTGAAAGTTTCTTCAGACTGCATTTGTGTGCAGACCGTCCTCTGATTGCTACAGAGGAGATTAAGAGATCATCTAAAAATAATGTGTGAATATACATTTGAGTGTGTGGATAATGTGTGTGTGTGTGCGCACACATAACGAAAAGTGATGGGAGGCAGAATACTGCCCTAGGGAAGATACTGTGAGGGATATTCATGCCACTGAAGTTCAGCTGTCAAGCTTGAGTCTCTACTCAAACCAATGGAGAGAAGTTGGGTCCTGCGGAAAGCAACTTATAGCATTTATAGAGTTCAGAGTCTGACTCTACTAGAGCCTGGGGGTTGGTGTCTGAATATAGTAATGCATGGATTTCTGCTCCCTCGTTCTCTGTATGTCAAAGGCCTGGCACTTTCATTAGGACCTACACATTACATACATTTATCTTGTATATCACACATACATATTATTTTATGCAGTAGTATAACAGGGAAATTGTATTTTCGCATTCTTCTAGTAACAGCCCAAAACACTACATCAATCCATGGGTCTTGTCTTAAAGCTCATCTCTTAAAGCTTCCCCTAGGAGAGCTGTGTTTCACATAATGGAAGGATCAGCTGAGTTCTGCTGGTGACTGTAGTGTCTGATGTGTTTAGTTTTTCACAAGCAGTGTGAGGGAAGGTATCTTGTGTATTAAGGGGAGCTAACTAGAATTAATGAGACTACCAGTATTTTAATTAGCTCTTAAAGAAATAAATGAAAAAAAATCCCATTTTAATTTAGTTTAACTTCCAAAACTAGCTGACCTGCTAACTGCTAAGATATGAGGTCATTTCTTGGAAAAAAAAGCACAATCAGTCAGAGCAAAGAGCCATAGCTATTCATTGTATTTCCTGGGGCATGTGGACTGTGATTATTCCCATCAGAGGCAAATGGGCAAAGTCATGGTCCCCTGCTGATTCTCTGGGGACCCCTCTCTGTGCTGAGACTACCACAATCTGCTGGGAGTATCAACTTCCTGGATGAGGAGCAGCATCACTCATGCTGCTGCCATGGCACAATGGAAATATCCACCTAACAGTGTATGTTCACTGCAGTTTGCTGATCTCTCCCAGTTTGGAACATGACTTTCCTAAAAAACAAAGGCCATTGCACAGTGAGGGGAGTACCGATGGGATGCTTCCTTCTCCTGTTTGCTGCTGAGTTATTGCTGATGGAGATGAGCAGAGTCATTTGACTCAGCCACAACAAAGCTAATACACTAATGATGCGAAAGAGTGTGGCTAGAGTGGCCTGAAAACCCCTATGAACTAACAGCAGAGCATATTTAGTATGATGCATCTGTCTCTGCTTTACCAATTCTGTCCCACTGTGTCTTCCTTGAGATGAGAAGGCTCAGATGTGGGCAAGGAAAGAGCAGGGTAACATTGGCATCGGTGTCACAGGATGACGTCCTGCTAGAAGGTGATTGTGCCTACCTAATGGGCTTCTGCCCCCTGCTGTGAGGGGATTGGAGGGAAGGAGAGGAAAGCTTAGAGAAGGAGGAGGAGAGGAGGAGGAAGTCTTTGTGGAGAGGGAGGAAAGACTAGGTTTAAAATATCAAGCCCTTTGAGTCTTTAGGAGCTTCCTGCTGGCTGGAGAGCAAGGGTGGAACAGGGCCCAGGACAGAAAATGTGAGATGTCCTACCATCTGATGGACCTGCTTGCAAACTGGGGACGACATCGATTGTCTACAGCTCAAAGGGCCCTGATGTCCCTGAGAGGGAATGGGGGACAGACTCTCTCTGCCTGGCTTGGCTAAGGGCCAAGGAGAGCAGTGTGGCTGCTCCCTGCCTATTGCACTTCCAGGGCTGGCCCTTGTTTCCCTTCTAAAGCTACAGCATCATGTGCTTTCTCCCTTTCCTTACCATATTACAGAGTCTCGTCTTTCAGTTGTCTCCTCTCTCAAATGAGGACAAGTGTGCAAGGGGAAATGGGACAAAGAAAGGGAAATAATAACAAGAGGAAGAGGGAGCAGGAGAAAAGTGCAGGAAGATATAGGGGAAGAAATCATGTCTGCCAGAAAGAGGAGGGAGCCAGCAGGGCTCCTCAGCTAGTGGCTAAAAGCGCAGTATAAATTGGGACTGCATTCGCACTGGTGTGTGAAGCTGTGAGTCAGACACATTCCTGCATGCAGTGGTCAAGGCAGCTCTCAGGAGTTGGTTCAGGGGGCAGAGCTCACCTCTCCAGAGTCTGTCTAAGCTGAGGCGACACAGACTTGGGAGCAGAAATCCGCTTATTCACCAAGTCTGCTGGTTTCCCCGGGCCCAGCAACAAATGAGGAGCTGGTAAAGAGAAGAGACGTTTCCTTCTGGCTGGCAGAAGTTATCTTGCACCTATTGTTCTTGAAGGGGAGGGCAGTGTCCCCTTCTTGGCCCTTTGATGGTTAAGGGAAACGACCGGACACAGCTTGTGATGGACAAGATCAGCAAAATGGACTGGGCAGCTGGAGGTGAGGAATAGACTTCTCTGGATAACCTGTCTATGTCTGATGAACTCTCGTCATTCTTCCCTTGACTGCTTTGCTGTTAAGGCTAGACGTGTCCCATACAGTGAGTGGAGAAGGAACAGGTCTCTGAGAGTTTGATTTGTTCTTGCTCACCCTACTCAAAGATGTCTTACAACCCTTCCTTCATCAGCGCAAGGCCTGGAGAGGATCCCAAGGGTGGTAGTTTCTTGGAGGAAAGCAGCGGTGGGGGTGATGACAGTAGTGTCCTGGGAGGGGACAGCCTGGTCACGGGGCCACTGGGTGCAGTGCTGCTGGTCATGTGCCTCACTGGGATGGTGGGGAACATCTACACAGTGGCGGTGGCCTCTGGCAGGGTGGTGGGCTACTCAGCAGGCTCCCTGGGGGTCTATGTGATCAACCTTGCCCTGGCTGACCTCCTGTACCTGTCCACCATCCCCTTCGTGGTTTGCACCTATTTTGCCCATGACTGGTTCTTTGGGGATGTGGGCTGCAGGCTTTTGCTCAGCCTGGACCTCCTCACCATGCATGCCAGCATCTTCCTTCTGACCGCTATGAGCCTGGAGAGGTACTGGGCGGTGGCGAGGCCGCTGCAGGCCAGGCGGGTCAGCAATGCTTACCGCAAACTGGCCAGTGCCGTCCTCTGGCTCCTCTCGCTCCTGCTTACGGCCCCCATGATGGTGATGACCCAGCTGCAGGAGGGGGACAGGCCCCACAAGCGCATCTGCAGCCCCACCTGGACACCAGCAGCTTTCCGGCTCTACCTGACAGTGCTGTTTACCACCAGCATCCTGGCACCCGGTGTGGTGCTGGGCATCGTCTACACCCGCCTGGGCTGGGCATACCAGGCCTCAGCCTGGGGCCTGGGGCTGCCAGTGGCCGGCCGGGCCCCCTCCCGGCGGCTCTTCTCCAGGATCTCTGCCATTGTGGTGGCCTACTGGGCCTGCTTCCTCCCCTTCTGGGCCTGGCAGCTGGCTGGGCTGTACCAGAAGGATGGGCTGGGCATCGGCCCCACTGCCCAGGCCTACCTCAACTTTGGTGTCACCTGCCTGGCATATGGCAACAGCTGTGTCAACCCCTTCCTCTACACCCTGCTTGCCAGCAGCTACCACCGGCGCCCTGGCCACAGTGGGATGGGCATGGCACAGCCTGCAGCACCCTCCCGGCAGGCTGCAGGAAGCCACAGCCTCCCCCTGACTTTCAAGGAGTTGTCAGGGTCTCTGAGGGAAAGCGAGGGGTGAGCAGTGACCCAGGTCGGGCACATCTCCTGGCCTTTGTCTGGGGTCAGGTCAAGAAATAAAAGTGCATCACCTTCCATGGTAGGATGCAGTGTCTTCTATTGTTGTTGCAGTGCCTTCCCCTTTACATGGATGCTCATCCTGCTCATCTGTGGGGAGGGGGAGAATGCTTGTCTTGGGGTTCCTGACTCCATCCTCAAGTCCTTCATGCCAACCTCCACCTTGCGCAAGGCTGGGGAGTGGGTGGAAGGGAGCAGTCAGCTTTGATACATCTAAATTATACAGCTGGGGAACCCTCGCCACCCCTCACCTCCTCGCTAGCAACGGGCCAAGCCATAACAAAGTCAGGACAACAGTGAGTCATAGATTTCACAGGAGCAGTGAGTCACTTCAAGAAGCAGCCACGCTGGCAGGAGACCTGACTAAGGTTCATACTCCTGTGGTAAAGCTACCACTCAGCTTTCTTCATCCACCCTTCACGAAAAAATCTTTGAAGAGTTTTTCTAAAGAAAGACTGCCAAGTGCAGTTAAGAGGCATTGTGAGATCTCCACGAAGTACAGCTCAGGGAGGTCAGCACATTTGCTTAGCTTTCAAGATCAGCCCAGAAGAGAAAGCTGCAAGGAGAGAGCTCCACTCTGTATCCATTGTCACAGCTCTTGGTGACCTCACCAGCACCACAGCCCTGCTGTGGTCTACTAAATGTACCCCAGTCTGCCAGACTGTGTCAAGACCACTGTGTAAACTCGGCCAGGTCTCTTGCCTTGAGTCATCTAGCCTAGCATGGCTCAATTCCATACAACTAAACTCTTCTCTTCTCCACAAAGGATGGCCTCATCTGTATCACCCCATGGGAAGAGTCCCTAAGCTATACTGTCCCCCAGCTATGCCTATGCACAGGGTGGCAAATGTCACACGTACTGTTATAGATGAAGCCCTAAAGAGTGTGATGTGATCATCCAGAGCAGACTGGCTTTGGGCAACACAGGGCTTCAGTGAGATCCAGCTGCAGAGCCTCAAGTTGCTTGTACACCCCAAGTGTTCCTGCCTCTCAGCTCAGCTCTCATCTCTCTCTTCCTCCTCAGCCCTACAATTCCTAACAACTTAGCCTCCCTCTGCTTGAGTACCTAGGACACAGCACCTGGCAGAGCCTTGTAAATTATGAAGTAGGAACAGGAGATGCTGCTGCTGCTGTTCTCCATCTGCTCTGCAACTCTTTAATGGGATTTGCAGAGCCAGGCCTGCAGGGAATCCTGTAGGACATCAAATTGTTAGTGCTTTGTGTTGCTCATGGCCAAGCCTGAATGTGAGGACACAAAAATTGGGCCTTTTTATCCCAGACTTACCTGGTAACAGCTGTGCACTGTGGAAACAGCAGATCCCACCTTTCCTATGCCCAGCAGGCACAGCATGCCCAACAGCAGTAATCATTGCTGCCAAGGTAGCATCAGACTGGGAGAGCCCCCAAGGCAGCTATGCAGTAACATCAAACATGCCTCATCATCTCAGACTCCTCAGAGTCTAGCCTCAGTTTAGACTGAGAAGTGCTCAGGCTCATTTGGGCTAATGTGAGGGAAGGGGTAACAAAAGCATAGGGTACACATCCTTAGCATCCCACGCCCCAGCTGGGCATTGCTACTTCTCCCAGCTCTGGATGGACCAGGCAAAGCACTCAGGGCAGAATAAAACCAGACTCCTCCAGGGTACTGCCCTCAAGTGCCACAAAACAACACTATTTGTGCTTCTGCAGCTATTGGAAGAAAGGATTTGGATGAGAAGCCCTCTACATACCCTGCCACACCCAGCAAGGCAGCCTTTTCTACTGCTGTCTCCACGCAGTAGCAAGAGGTCCCAAGATGACATAGGAGAGCTCTGTCATGAGTAGGACCCGCCTCTTCAGAGGGGTACAGCCAAAGCTAGTGCAACTGAGGACTTTCCTCTCACTCCATGCCCCACCAGGTTTACGTAGCACAGCAACTGAATGCTGTCTGAAGCCAGCCAGGGATGCTTAATTTAGGGAGAGATAGATTTAATCAACCAGTTTTACTCAGGCAGGGTAAGGTGTCAGTCCAGACCTCAAGAGTGGGTGACTTTGTTTAAGAGACCCTTTCACTCTCCCTCCCAGTCACAACTAGCCCCAGCGTTTCATCCTGAGGATCTCCTTGGACTTTTTAACTTCCATCTTCCGTCTTTAATCCTCACCCTCTTCTCCATCCATGGCCAAGGATGACACAATTGCATCCATTTATAGTACCTAAAGTTGGCTACCTTCATCCACCCACTCCTCCAGCAAGATGCCCAACCCATGATGACTTGCAGGAACAAATTAGATTTTGAGACTGGCTAGACCAAAACTCCTGTTTATTAATTGTTTTTTCTGCATCTTTGACATGGAGGCATCAGAGGAAGTTATTCCCAGCTGAGGGATTGGAGCGTGAAGTCCCCTTGTGTATCAAAGTAGTCAAAGACAGCGAGACCAAGCCGGTTAGGGAACGTGAACTGGTGGCCTGGCAGGTGGACTGTCACATCGTTTTGGTTGACACCAAAAGTGATCTACAAGACAAACAGAAAAGTCAAAAGTTTCTGCCAAGACACCCTCAAGCCTTTTCCCTGTACCACCCTCCACTCTGCAGGGTGAACACGCTCAGCAGCATAACCTGTTCTTCAACAGTAGGAGTGTTGTTCTGGTCTCCCAAGAGATGCCTATTCCCTGCTCCATTCGATAGTAATATCCCTTTTAGCCAGATGGAGCTTGCACATTTGATCCCCACCCTCCATCACGCTCAGAGCCCTAAGTGGTGGCACTGGCCAAGCAGGAGAAGCCAGCCACCTCCTGTACAGACAGCCCTGAGACAGCCCCTGCAGTTGAGTGTCCTGTGTCAAACACCCTTCTTTCACCAGAGCATGTACAGAGAGTATATATGTGCGTACATATATATATATATATATATATATATATATGCATGCCTCACCTCTGCTGTGCCCCCTTTCTGGAAAGGGAAGACAGTCTCCCTGTGCTCTGCACCCCACTCTTCCACCTTCTTGGAGTTGCACACAATGGTGTTCACATCACCATGAGCATCAAAACGGGGGTTGAAGTGAAGTCCGACGTGAGTAGCATCCTTCCCCAGATTCATCACAAAGCTGCAGAGAAAAAAACCCAGACATCAACACTGCTTAAAAAAAAAGGTAATGAGAAACATGCTACCATAGTATTGAACGTTCAGCACACAGAGCTCTGAGTGGAGAGTTATCCTGCACCCAAAGCAGTTCTCAAGGTGTCAGTTGCTTTCCACAGATTTCCTTTCAGCCCCAAACAGTTAGCTGGTGCCTGACAGCCACTGTCTTCTCCCCATCCTGCAGGCAGCTGAAATAATTACTACATGGTCAGCTATCCCGAAGTATCCACAGCGGCAGTGAGAAGAAACTTCCTAGCCTAGCATCCACCTTGCCTCTAGGCCTCTTACCCAGATGAGAAGAGGCATATTATTTGGCAAGAGAAAGCCTGGGAGGCTTCACTCTGACAGTATCAAACTTCAAAGGCACTGGGAAGTGCTGGGACCTGTTTTCTGGAACACCGCTAGTGCTGGTACAGTGGCTGCTTCCTGCCAAGGGGCTCCATCAGCCACAGACCTGCACAAGGGCTTGAGACTGCTGCAGAGGCTTTGGTGGGGGCCCCAGGCACCCCAATTCCTGCACATTTAGGAGTATATTTCCACTTAAGCCAACCTGTCTGCTCACCACCTTTCCTCCTTCCTTCCCCACCAGCACATGAGATGCAACTCCACCATTACGGTGCCCCTGCTCCTGGGCCATCTTCGTGCAGGGCAAAGGATGTGGCTGAGTGGATGATCTCAACCCAAATCTCAGTATAGGCACAGCTTCTGTTTCCTTTACCCTGCACTAGAGAGGATGTGGTCACTGCCAGTGCGTGCAGCTGGAGCTTCACATCTGTTTTGGCTTAGCCCCTTGGCAGTACTGTGTGTGCAATGTGCATTAGGTGATGACTCACTGGGAAGCACTGATGGTGTTAACCCCTTCTCCTTTCCTACCCAAGGGACAGACTCCTTTTGTCCCCCCCCAGCAGAAGACAACTCAGTGTGGTGCCCTGGCCATCCCTGGGCAGCACAGCACAGCTTACCTCTTGGCATTTGGTGAGATTTTCCCTTTGACAGTGAGGCGCTGGCCAGGCTTGAGACCCAAGTTGGTGCACACTGGTCCCTGGGGAACATTGAGGCAGAGACATTAGCTCAGTACCTGCTGGCTCACTTGTTCTGACTTGGCAGCTCTCCCTGCTGCCTTGCAAGAGGATGCATTGCTTTGGACCCATGGAGAGACAGGGAAACTCCCTTCCTCCTGGGGCACTGCACCAGGGACATCCCAGAGAAGTTACCTCAATCACATGGGACATGTGACCAATTTCCCAACCTTTCTCCTGCTGCTCTCATCAGCATATCTGTATTTCACAGACATGAAGTGTAAGTACCTGCACTCTCCCATCACACCCACCCCATTCCAAACACACCCGTGTGCCTTGTGGGTCTCGCATCATCCTGTACAAGTCTGGCTGGCATGGATGGCAGGGATGGAGCCTCCAGTCCCTTCCCCTAGCATGTTTTTGAACTTCAAGCCTTGCCCAGGTCAAAGGACTCAGATACCTTGTTTCCCAGCTCCCAAGGGCTTGGAGATTTGGGGGGCTTTTTGTAGCTTAGCATTTGCAAGAATATTCTCTTGCTCCACATACACATCTTTCCCCATCTTCTTTCTAGGACTAAAATTTCCTGGCAAACCTATTTGTATTCATTTGCTATCGCAGCAAAGGCAAGACCCCAAGAAAACTGAAAATCTTTTCCCATTCCACTTTAATGAATAAGTTTGCACTTGGGACAATACCTGCTTAATCACCTTCAGCCTCAGGAAAGATAAATTAATCAAAGAACTGTAATCACTCTTTTTCTCCAGCAGTCACAGAACGTTTGGGGTTGGAAGGGACCAACCTGCTAAAGC